CTTTCTGTCTCTATGTCTCTGTCTGTCTGGCGAGTGCATGCGCCCTATAGCAAAAAACCTCTCCAAAAAATAAATAAATAAATAAATAAATAAACCACATTAATTATTATCTTGTACAGTTGGTTATTTCCATCCATCAACAAAATTAAATAAATAAATGAAATAGGATTTCTAGAGCCACCAGGTGATATAGGGGTTACGACGCTAGATTCCCACATGGCTGAGATGGTTCAAATTCCAGACCCAGTGGCTTGAGACTCATGCTGGGCACGTATGCATGCGTGTCCAAAATCCCAAAAGGAGAATGGAGGAGAAGGGAGAAGGGATTGTGGCATGGCCATCCCCTCAGCAAGTGATTTCCCACTTTCCCTCTCACTGCCTCTTTCTCTGGTGAGTGCATGTGCCCTCATGTAAAAAAAAAAGAAAAGAAAAGAAAAAAAATCCCTAATTGTAAGTGAGAGTTTCAATGAGTCCTCTTAGACTTCAAGAAAATTATGGGACCTCGTGGACTGGTGGGAACTCTGATATTTGAGCTAATGGTCAGAAGTGTGGGTGGCCCATGACACTTGCGGTTGGTATGTGAACCGAGAAAAACATAAAGAACTGAGGCCTTAATCTAGGGGGTCTCCACCAACTTCAGGTACTTAGTGTCAGAACCGAATTAAATGATAGGACACCAGTTGGTGTCAGACGTTTGGCCTTGAAACACTGACAGGCTGTTTTTTAAAAAGGAGACAAGGGGCAGCAGGTGGAATGGTGGTTAGGGCACTGGACTCCCACATGGTCAACCACAGTTTGAGTCCTGGACCTGGTGGCTTGCTTTCTCACTTTCTCTGTCTCTTTATGGTCAAATTAAAAATAATAATAATAACAAAATCAAATAAAATAATTCCTTTTTAAAAAAGGAAGACAATAATGTGTGTATGAAGGAGGGTTCAAAAAGTTCACAGAAAATGCCTATTAAGAAAAAACTAAAAATAAGAAAAGAAAAGAAAAATAAAGAAAGGAAAAACTATGCATGAATTCTGGTGCATCTCAAAGGAGCTAGAAAAAGAGGAGGAATATGTTTAACCACGGAAGGACTTAATCTGACACATGCTACTAAGTGGACGAAACTTGAAAACCCCTATGCTAAATGACAGAAGCCGGACACGAAAAGTCATGTACTGTGTGATTCCATTCATGAATGTTCAGAATAGCACAGTCTACCGGGATGAGGTTCCGGTGAGTGGCTGCTCGATGCTCATATGTTCATTGGTACTTTATGGGCAGATTTTCTCTGGGGATGATGAAAATATTTGAAGTAGAAACGTGCCAAGAACTGAATTTGTTATGTGGGGCCAACAGGTGGTGTAGTGGTTGAGACGCTGCACTCCCACCTGCTCAACCGTGGTTCAAGTCTTGGACCCAGCAGCTTGAAACTCATTCCTGGTGCATGTGTATGCGTGCCCAAAATTCCAAGAGGAGAATGGAGGAGAGGGGACTGCAGCATGGCCATCCCCTGCAGGGGGGCAATTTTTCGCTTTCTATCTGTCTCTCTCTCTCTCTCTCTGGCAAGCGCTTCTGCCCTATAGAAAAAAAATTATCTAAAAAAAAATTACATGAATTTTATCTTTGACCTAAAAATGGGGGGGGAGGGTTTATAGGTCGGAATTGAAACTAACTTAATTATTCTCCTATACCCTCCCAGAACAAGTGATCTCGCTGATGTTCTTGTCTGTTTGCCCTTCCCACTACTCCAAAAGGCACAGCTCCCATGATGGGTCGTAATAGCCCCAACTCCAAGTACCTGAGACATTTTTGATGAGAGCAGCACCTTCAAAGTTCCACAGATGCTTTGGGCATTTTCTTTCTTTTCTGTTTTTTGTTTGTTTGTTTTAGGGGTCAGCCCTTGGATCTTGCCTCTTATTCTGAGCTCTGCTGGAAAGAAGGCAAGGTCTCAGGAAACCTTGAGTGCCCTTGGCAGGGTTGAGAGAGAGGCCAAACCTGGCCTGGCTGGTGGAATGGGGGGGGGGCATGCCCTAGTGGGGAAATTCCGTGGGATAAGAGGAAGATTTCCACCTGAAAGGAGGGAAGAAAGTGAGGCTGCTTGATTTCCCTGCAGATGGCTAACTCACCCAGAGGTAACAACTGCACCCAGATGTTATAAAAGACCAATTGGAATCATGTCTCAGGACCATCTTAATCACCCACCGTAAGTCCCTTTCCTTTCAAAGTCCCTAGTCCTTACCCTTCAGGGCTGATGTAACTCTTGCATCTGGCTCCTTTCCTCCCTTTTGGAAAGTGGATTAATCTTTTCTATTCACATACTCCCTGAGTCTATGAATTCTTTCACAGCCCACCCCACAGAGCATCCTAACAGAGGTCATGCCACTCAAGCTTTTGTTTAAACCAGTGGGAACTCCTCTCTGCTGGGGCTAGAGGGACAGCTTTCTCCTCACCAAAGCTGCTCCTGAGCTCTCTGACTTGGGCAACCCAGGTACCAAGAACTCTTCACTAAGCAAACCATGGAATTTTGTTTTTAGATTTATTTAACTTTATTATTCATTCATTTATTTTTAATTTGACCAGTGAGAGACAGAGTGAGAGAGAGAGAAGGTGAGAAAGCAAGCCACCAGGTCTGAGACTCGAACCACAGTTGCCCAAGTGGGAGTAGTCAGTGCCTTAACCACCATGCTACCTGCTGGTCCCCAACCATGGAATTTAATAGAAAACAATGTAACCTATCCCCTTTTATTATTTTATTTTATTTTATTATTTTAATTTGACCAGAGATAGAGAGGTAAATGAGAAAGTAAGGCACCAGGTCTGGGATTTGAACCATGGTTGACCATGTGCAAGTCCAGTGTCTCAACCACCACACCAACTGCTGGCCCCCAACCTAGTTTCTTATGAGAAAAAGGACATTCATTCTTTTGACCAGTCATTGACCTGCCAATTTTCCAAACAAAAATGCCTCTTTCCTAGGTCTGACTTAAATAACAAAAGCTGGGCCAGCAGGTGGCATGGTGTTCAAGACACTGGACTTCCATATGGTCAACCACGGTTCAAGTCCCAGACCTGGTGGCTTGAAAATCACAACCTTTGCATGTGTGTGGGTGCCCAGAATCCTGGGGGGGGGGGAGAATGAAGGAATTACAGTATGGCCATTCCCGCTGGGAGGAATTCCTCACTTTCCCTCTCATTGTCTCTCTCTGTCTCTCTTTGGTGAATGCACCCTTTGGCAAAAAACTAAAAAAAATTAAGTAAGTAAATAAGCTACCTTTAGATGTAAAAGGTTTACTTTATCATTTAGGTAGGGATTCACCTTCATGCCAAATATCTCCCATTGGGGTGCTGGGAGCATGAAGAAGTGAGGCTTTTGCCCCCCTCCATTTCACACACTCAAGACAGAGGTGGGAAAAGACTCCCACCCCAGCCCAAGGAGTCAGGGAGTAACCCCATTCCAAACAGCCAGGAAGAAAGACATCTAACCCGGGACCAGCAGTGAGCGTAATGGCTATGTCGCTGGACTTCCATGTAGCTTAAACTCACGCCAGGTGCATGTGTGTGCGTGCCCAAGATCCCGAGAGGAGAATGGAGGATAAGAGATTGTGGTGTGGCCATCTCCCCTGGGGGTGATTTCTTGCTTTCTGTCTCTCTGTCTTTGCTCTGTCTTTCTGACGAGCACACATGCCCTGTAGCAGAAACATCTCCAAAAAAGGAAAAAAATAAATAAATAAAAGGAAAGTTAACCTAACCTAACTTCAGAGGATACAAAGCAATGCTATGGTTTCAATGTTTGTGTCCCCTCCAAACTCACCTTGACACTTAATCTCCAAAACAGCAGTATATAAAGGTAAGGCCTTTAGGAGAGGATTGGGCTCGAGAGGGCTCTGTTCTCATGAATCAGTTTGTGCTCTGATAAAAGGGCTAGCTAGCTCCTTTTGGCCCTTTCTGTCCTTTCTTCCAAGTGAGGACACAGTGTTCATTCCCTCCAGACAACCCAGCATTCAAGGTGCCACATTGGAAACAGGGCAGCCCTCCCCAGACATCAAATCTGCTGGCACCTAGATCTTGGACTTCCAGCCTACCGCACTGTGAGGTACAAATTTATTCTTTATAAATTACCCAGTCATAGGTATTTTGTTACAGGAGCACAAATAGATTGAGACAGTTCAGAATCTTAATCATCAAAATCTGTTTTTACCAGCTTCAGCAGAGATTTTGTAAGCATAGCAGGGTCCAGCACAGCCGTCTGCATCGGTTCTGCAGAGAGCAAGCCCCATCTCCTGTAAGCTGTCTAAGGCTGTTCTGCAGGGAGCACGACATCACAAAGAAGACCCATGAGCCCCTACCAGCTGGAGAAGATCAAGAGGGAGAGATAAAGGGGGAAATAGACTTTCAATACACATTGGGAAAGTTTTGCTTTTTAAAAAAATTTTCATTTAATATACTATTATTATTTTTTAATTTGACCAGAGAGAGAAGGAAAGTGAGAAAACAGGCCACCATGTCCAGGACTTGAACTATGGTTGGCCATGTGGGAGTCCAGCAACCCAACCAACATGCCACTTGCCAGCCCCAAACTTTTGCTTATAATACTAAAATCTCCACTCCAGGAGGAGTGACAGCCCCATTTACAAAAAATGCGAAGTATAGGACCAGCAATTAGTGTAATGGTTATGTTACTGGACTCCCATGTAGTCAACCATGGTTCAAGTCCCGGACCTGGTGGCTTAAACTCTCGCCATGCGCGTGTGCATGCGTGCCCAAGATCCCGAGAGAATGGAGCAGAAGGGATTGCGGCATGGCCATCCCTTCTGGGTGGTGATTCCGCACTTTCTGTCTCTCTGTCTCTCTCTGTCTTCCTGGCGAGCGCACATGCCCTATAGCAAAAATCTCTCAAAAAAAAAAAATTCGAAGTATGGAGAATCATGACCAGTCGGTCACTGTATATAAGCCTTCGAGAACCTACCTTTCCGGGCTTGACCCACCCAGCTCTGTCCACTTTTCCTGAATAAAAGCATTAACATCCCATGTCTCTGGAAGGAAGAGCTCCTGTGAACCCTCCGTGAAGCCCAACCAAGTCTCAACTTTTGGACCTCCATATCTGTGTTGGCATCACTCAGTTTTGGGAAGTCCCGTTAGGTTGGTTTAGCCAGAGTCCCACTGTATCCCTGAAGTTTTTTCCTGGTAATTTTGCATCCACAGCCCCTCCCCTGCACCTGTCCCTTAGCTTTAGAGTCCCACTTTTCTATCCCTGGTGTTTTCCTACTTGCTGGTTTGTAATAAAACTATCTTTGTGTGAAGTTACTTGGAGTGGTCTATCAGCCTGACTCCTGCCAGACAGAAGTTCTTTTGGGTCACTTACAGTTTGTCCAGAACATTGATTCAGAGGCTGGCAGATGGCTTGGTGGTTAAGGGCGCTGGACTCCTACATGGCCAATCGTGGTTCGAGCCCTGGACCTGGTGGCTTGGTTTCCTACTCCCCAAATGCCTCTCTCATTCACTCACTCCCTCTGTCCCTCTCTGGTCAAATTAAAATAAATACATAAATAAATAAAGATAAATAAACTCCTTTAAGAGAGAGAGAAGAGAGAATATTGGTTCAGACTCTCACTCTACTATGACTCCGTCATGAGTGAAAACAGAAGTTGCACAGGTGCATGCGTGCAGTCCTGGGGATGCGGTCTCAGGTCCAGTGCTGATCTGATCCTCACTGAGTCACAGCACCATAACTGTAAAAGAAGAACTATTCACGGCATTTGTCAACGATGGAAAGCAGACTTTATTCAGGAGCCACTGCGATAGGGTTTTGCCATGGGTTAGAAAGACGAGGGACCAACTGTGAACACAAGGAGAAGTGGGACTTTAAAGCTGATGGCGGTGGGGGGGGGGGAGGGGGGTCTGTGGATGCAAAATTACCAGGAAAAAACGTCAGGGGTACAGTGAGACCCTGGCTAAACCAACCTAACAGGACTTCCCAAAACTGAGTGATGCCAATACAGATATGGAGGTCCATAAGTTGAGACTTGGTTGGGCTTCATGGAGGATTCACAGGAGCTGAAGTTTGGTCAAGAACAGACTATCACAATCTCTATGTGAGCCCCTCAACTACCTGGCAACATGGGTCACAACAAGTATACTTACTCCTGCTTGACAAACGAGGACTTGGGCCACTTGTTAGCTATTTACTTATAGAAGAGAGAGAGAGGGGAAAAAGGAGAGAGAGAGAAGAATTTTTTCCCCCAGAAGGGATGTGTGCTCACCTAAAGAAAGAGAAGTTAAGAAAGCACCCTCCCCAGCCAGCAGGTGGTGTAGTGGCTAAGGCACTGGATTCCCGGTGACCGATTTCCCTGGTCCAACAAACGTGGGATGCAGTCCCTGAGTGGGAGCAGCTGTGGATTTAGAAAAGACACACACAGACACACAATAGAGAAAAGTGGGGATTGGACTGTCCTAACATCTCTGATGGAGTACACTGGGCCCTGAGCTGTTCCCAGGTTTATTCTTTTATAGGACAATGGGGGACAGAGAAGTAGAAGGTAGAGCCAGGTATCCTCTATTATCAACTGCAGCTGTCGAGCACCTTGTGCCCATGGCTCTAAATAAGCCCCACCTGGCCTTCTCTGGCTGAAAAGTAGTTCACTCTGGCTTCCACTAGCTGTGCAGTATTGACCCAAGTGAGAGAGTCTATGCTCTGTTCATCTTTAATGGCCGCCATTGTTCAGCTCAGATTTAGCTGCTCCCAACAACCAACTGCAGTTTGACTCCTGGACTTGTAGGCTTGAAAATCACACTGGGGACATGTGTGTGCATGCCTAAAATGCCAAGAGGAGTTTTTTTACAGGAGTGCTGAGTCTCAGACCCAA